ATAACATTATCTGTTTCTGCTGATCACATAAAGGACCCTTCAGGCGTTCTGGGCATATGGTGCTTAACCTATATTATATAGACCAATCGGCAGTCGGGGAGTGATGTGGTTAACATCACACCGGCCGCCTTTACTTCCCAGGACTCTACCTGGTATCCATTTCATGATGGGTTTACCTAGAAACCATGGTTATGTTTTAGGGGGGAAAAGTCTGAACCAAAGATCTTTGGATCTGCAGGCAAGCGTCTAGGCACTACACCATGGCGGTTGCTCCCAGCTAGTGATCATGTCTTAAGGTGAAACATAACAGCCTACAACTATGGGCAGGGCACATGATGATGGTTACAAGACAAGTCTTCTTCTTCTTCTTCTTATACTCCATGCTGTGTGGCGTTGGTAGATATGTCTATCGACAACCTTGTCTCATAAACTTTCAATCAGTTCTGACACGATCATCTTCCATGCCGTGGTGTCAAACCGTCCAGCATCTTCTTACTTGGTCTCCCTCTGCTAACAAGTCATTCTGATAAAAATCACACTGGAGGGAGCAGTTAAAAGCACGTGAGCAAGGGATAAGCAGCCATACAAGTGGATTGATAATATTCATAGATAGGTGAACCGGGCATGTGACAGATCCTCTGAGCTAACCTTGTGGAGACGGCACCTGACTGATTGCATACTCAGCTACTGGTCTTCTTAGCCATTTATTGAATTCTTATCCTTCTCTGAAGAAAGCACATCTTTGTGCCCTCTTGTTTGTTTTCTGATATAACTGTTCAGTGTGACCTTCAGGTAAAGGTAACTGCCATATATGTGAAGACTATATTATTCAATGATCAATGTCACATGTAGGCAGAAGTATTATAACAATGCTCAGTACAGTCAGAGAAAACACTAAAGGCTCTACAGCACTCCCAAAGTTAGGATAGAGGAAAACTCCATGATCTAGCGAGCAATAGAGAAAGAACATAAGACAGACAAATGGGACTCCATGATCTAGCGAACAATAGAGAAAGAATTGATAAGACAGACAAATGGGACTCCATGATCTAGCGAGCAATAGAGAAAGAACATAAGACAGACAAATGGGACTCCATTATCTAGCGAGCAACAGAGAAAGAACTGATAAGACAGACAAATGGGACTCCATGATCTAGTGAGCAATAGAGATATAACTGATAAGACAGACAAGGAGACTTCATGATCTAGCAAGCACTACAGACAGTAATCAGAAAGAGCCAGGAGACATGTCAACTAGCGAGCAACAGAGACAAACAAGCAAGAATCCATGATCTAACAATCAGTATAGCAGCAGCATTCATGAAGATAGTCAGGGTAGATTTCATGATCTAGCAAACAACAGAGGCAGAATTCATGAAGATAGTCAGGGTAGATTTCATGATCTAGCAAACAACAGAGGCAGAATTCATGAAGATAGTCAGGGTAGATTTCATGATCTAGCAAACAACAGAGGCAGAATTCATGAAGATAGGGTAGATTTCATGATCTAGCAAACAACAAGAGGCAGAATTCTGATAAAATATAATAAATGACCAAGACAAAGAATGTGTTCAAACGAATGAATCACAATTATCCTTACGCTAACATATAGTTGTTACAAGGACTGTGGGCCAAATATTCAACGATTTCAAGTTTGATTCTCATTTTCATATACACATTTTGTGTTTATTTTATGCTTAGAAATGTATGTAATTCTCACATATTATGTTCTTCACTATTAGCTCTTTTTGCCACAAATAAAAAAAAAATTACTTTTAATTTAATTTACAACATTCATAAGTTTTGTTTATCTTTTAACAAGCAGACACAAGTTGAGAGGCTGCAGCCATGACATTCACGAATGAGCTCCTGTGATTCTAAAAACAGTCAAAACATTCATAAATATGAATTGGTGATTTTAGAAACAGTCACAACATTCACAAATATGTATCGGCACAAATATGTATTGGTGATTGTATAAACAGTCACAACATTCACAAATATGTAGTTGTGATTCTAGAAACAGTCACAACATTCACTAATATGTATCAGTGATTGTAGAAACAGTCACAACATTCACTTATAAGTTCTTGTGATTTTATAAACAGTCACAACATTCACAAGTATGTATTGGTGATTCTAGAAACAGTCACAACATTCACAAATATGTAGTTGTGATTCTAGAAACAGTCACAACATTCACAAATATGTAGTTGTGATTCTAGAAACAGTCACAACATTCACAAATATGTAGTTGTGATTCTAGAAACAGTCACAACATTCACAAATATGTAGTTGTGATTCTAGAAACAGTCACAACATTCACAAATATGTAGTTGTGATTCTAGAAACAGCACACAATTTACTAATGAGTTTGGGTGATTTTATAAACAGCCACAACATTCACAAATTAGCTTCTGTGATTCTAGAAATCATTCACAAATGAATTCTTGTAAATATCAGAAAAAAAGAAACAGTCACAGATTGAGTGGTTTCAATCACAACATTCATGAATTAGCTCCTGTGATTCTAGGAACAGTCACAACATACATAAATGAATTCTTGTGATATTAAGAAACGGTTAAGTCTTTCAATCCCAGCAATTCATGTGCCTGTGTGAGTCTAAAAACAACCCACAGACCTGGGTACTGCACCTGCAACTGTTTATGGGGCTACACAAACAACCCACAGACCTGGGTACAGTGCCTGCAACTGTTCATGGGGCTACACAAACAACCCACAGACCTGGGTACCCCACCTGCAACTGTTCATGGGGCTACACAAACAACCCACAGACCTGGGTACCCTACCTGCAACTGTTCATGGGGCTACACTAACCCCCCTAGACCTGGGTACAGAGCCTGCAACTTTTCATGGGGCTACACAAACAACCCACAGACCTGGGTACCCCACCTGCAACTGTTCATGGGGCTACACAAACAACCCAGAGACCTGGGTACCACGCCTGCAACTATTCACAGTGCTACACAAACACAAGCAATTATATACCACTAAGTCGAAACGCATACATTCATAGAATAGCAAATTTTACGAGTTTATACATTCTGGTATTGGTTCTCACTTTCTGAAGCAGAGATTTGGTCAGAGACTAAACACTCGGGTTAAAAGATGGAGGCAAACATAGCTTACATTTCTGGCATTCCATAAAAAGATAACATAAATGAGTGCATACAATTTGTAAAAACATGACAAGAACAATTTAACAAACAAGAATACATTTTGCTGTGTATAATAAAACAATACATTAACAATCTTTCTAACAACAGTTACAGTAACAAGAAACATACATGCTCACATACAATAAAGCTAATCGTAATCTACAATTAATACAACCAATTCCATTAACAAAAAAGACTGGCATTTTTTTTGCAGTACTCAACAAACAAAAGAACTTGATTTTTAACAAATCATATAATGCAGGGAACATAAACCTGTTATTTCTGACACACCATGCAAAGGATTAACCCAAAATCAATTTTAACAAAGAAGACACAACAACAGATTGTCTGTTTTACAGGGCTGTTACTTTACGTTAGATGGTTCACTGATTTGCTTCATTATATTCAACTGTAGTAAGCACCCGGCATGATATAGTGAAATATGCCAGTCAATAAATTGTGCAATCCACTTGTGTCTGTTTTGTTCAAACACTGCTTTGATAAAATCAATTATTTCTGCTACACAAATACAAAATGAAAAGAAAAAAAACATCCGATGAATAGAACACACAATAACAAACTTTAAGCAGTTAAGCACCTGGATAAAGTTTTGAAGACTGTTTAACATCCAGATCTCGCTGACATCTTCAGTGTAGGTTCGGAAGGCCCCATGGATGGGGGCAAAGGGGGGTGGGGGTGGGGGGGGGGGGGAGGTAACAGACTCACTGTCCCCTTAAGCACATCACAGAAGGCAACTAATTAGAAATTTTTCCATCGAAGTCAAAGGCGATGAGCCAACAGTCTGCACACAAATAAAACAGATCTTTAAAATGGATGCGCACGCAAAGCTTGAACGAGCCTAGAGCTGGATTAACAATCAGAAGAACTTTCCACAGGAGTTTACTGGTGGTGAACTCGAAGAAGAGGAGGAGACACAATCTGGGCAACAGCTTCTCCATCTGCCAGAGTATTACACAAAGCCCAAACTCCCAGATTTCAGGGACAACTCCGCTTGTGAACTGAACTATGCAGTCTGCAAAGCGAACCCATCACCTCCAGATCACTAGGCAAGCAGCTTAACCACGTCACCATGAAGACCTCCAGTTTATAATACATGCTAGAAGGATTTTTTTAGTTTTCAACAAAGGATACAAATTTACAAATGCCAAATTTTCATCACCATAAAAATACAAGTCTCAGTTTTCACAAATGATAGTGTTAAAACAGCACGATAATTCCTCACAAATGTCAGAATATTAAAACAAACACTCGTAAATGCCAGAATGTGACAACAAACTCTCATAAATACCAGAAAATGACAATAAATTCTCACAAATATTTGACAGAATATGACAACAAACTCTCACAAATATTTGACAGAATTTGACAACAAACTCTCACAAATGCTAAAACATGACAAAACAATCTCAAAATGCCAGAATTGTTTGACAACTACTCATAAACAGAAGAATATGACAACAAACTCTCAAACATCCATAAACACTAGAACATGACAAAATATTTCTACTAATGCCAGAACATGACAACAGTCGCTTGCAAACAGGAAAAAACAACAACACAAATGCCAAAATATGACAACAGCCATTCACAAACACTACAACATGACAACACTTTCATAGATGCCAGAACATGACAACAGCACTCACTATCGTAAGAACAACAACAGAAAAACTCTCACAAATGCTAAGATATCAGGGAAACCATTCCCTCTCACTGCTGCGTCTCCCACGTGGTTCAATGTGTTACTGGCTTTCTCATGTAAAAAATAAAACAAATGTGGCTTGATTGGATGCAATAATCCTAGGCAAAATACATGACTCTGCAGGTGTCCGGATGAACAGTAACAGCTCTAGCCAGGTACAATGGGTTACGGTCTTCGCTGGTGTCTGAGTGACGGCTGCCTTCACCACTGGAAAAAAGGTCATCACTGGAATGTGAGAGTCATTAGAAGAGGGGCGGGGTCAGAACCCCCCACCCAACAACAACAACAAAGTCAACAGACAACACAACAACAAACAATATGGGTGGGACAAAAAACAATACCCAAATAACATGGGTGAGACAAGTGACAAACGTGCAACAAATACTGGTGGGAGAAGTGACAAACATACAGCAAATATGGGTGAGACAAGTGACAAACATACAACAAATATGGATGAGACAAACATACAAATAATATCGGCGCTAAAAACATACAACAGATATGGGTGATACGAACATACAAAAAATATGGGTTAAGATGAGACAAACATCCAACAAATATCAGTGAGACAAGTGACATATATACAATAAATGTTGGCAAGAGAAGTGACAAACATACAACAAATGTGGATGAAACGAGTGACACTAACAACAAATGTCGATAAGACAAATGACATAAACAACAAATACTATACAGAACCACGACAAAGAAATATAGTGAAAATAAAGAACACGAGATAAAACATTCAGATAAAAAGGAGAGAAAGACAGCCTCAAGAACAACCTAAAAGAAAAGAAGATCAACATATAATGCGTTGGAAAGAGCACACAGAACACCCAACACCTTGATGAGGTAATCAGAGGAAGTGAAGGAAAAAGAAGAATAATCCCTGTGGGGGGTTCCAGGGCTCCCACTGCAGAGAAAACAAGAATAGACTGACTGCCTACCCAAAAAAGCTTGTCGTTAAAAGAGTCGACTAATTGGGAGTTTCCTTTGAAGTTAGAGTGCATCTGCCAGAACGGCAAGGAACAACCAACTGCACACAAATAAGCCAGTGAAATGGATGGACATGCAAAACTCAGGCCCTGGCACAAAGCTAAAGTCGGAGTGGACGAACAACCAGGACTTTCAGCCGCAGCCTATAGTCAGCGAACAAAGAAGAAAAAAGACAGAATAAGAACTCAGGCTTAATGACAAATTCCATTAATGGACAATAACATTATTTCAAACAAATAATTAATGACACTCTCTTCCTAATGTGTCCCAGACAGCTAGTTCATCTGCCTGTTCCATAGTTAGCTGGTTGACAAGTGAGTTCACTTGTAAATTCTCATGAGAACAACCATCTCACTGTAGTCAGAATCTTCTGGGAATCATTCTGTTGTGTAAGAGAAATGATCACCCCACCTCATGTCTGGTCAAGAATATGTAACGGTCTAACACTTCGCACCTTATCAGCTCTGTCTACCCTGGACTACCTGGCGTAGTGGCCAGACACTCGTCCTAACATCTCAGGTTTGAATCCATATCAAGTCAGATTTGTTTAAAACTTAACCTGGCTTTCAGGTTGACCCAGCTGATAAAAGACAAAAGGTAAAGTCCTGGGAAATAAAAGTGGTCGGCAGGATGTTGATCACATCACCTATCAAGTGCGGACTGGCCTATAAAAATACGAGTCTATCATCATCTGCCTGATGTGTCAGTGGCATGAAAAGGTCCTTGTCCTGACCTCTCTGAGTGTATTATGGAGCAAACAAGTATGGGTGAACAGGCTCTACTGCGTGCCCCTGCACCTTCCTGCCCTATACACACTGGACATGCAATACTACATGACCCGCATGCAACCGTACATTGTTCATATTCAGTTTTACTATCATCATCATGTATCATGCTGGGAGGAAAACTGGATGACCGTTTCACACAATCTCATCTCAAATCAGGTTTGTCTGTCCTACTGTGGCATCTGGCCAAACTATCCAGGTCTATGATACTTTGCCTTCCCTTTGACAACAATCTATGAAAGGAAACATGCCATTTGTCCCTCATGTTCAAGTTTACACCTCTTGATGATATGCCCACATAATGTTGATTCTTCTGTCATTTGTCCCTCATTTTCAAGTTTACACCTCTTGATGATATGCCCACATAATGTTGATTCTTCTGTCATTTGTCCCTCATTTTCAAGTTTACACCTCTTGATGATATGCCCACATAATGTTGATTCTTCTGTCTTCCTCTGCCCATTGTACACCACAGGCTCTTAATCAACAGATGCCAGACACTGTGTTGTTGACTAGACAGATCTTACAGGTCAAGCTGCATACAGGTCAAGTGAGTCAGGAGCACTTTAACCCTCCAGACTGACCCATAGAGGTCAATTACATGCATGCCACAGTATTCCTTGTCTTTCATTTTTCTTCTTATCTATTGTTTGCGACCACAAAAGGGTAGTTAGCATGTTGTGTTGTAGTTCACAGCTAGGCTGTGCCTAATAGCCCCACCTAATGATATTTTTTCTTCTATTTCTGTGCTTGTCCTTAAAATGGTGGTTGGCGTGTTGTGTTGTGGTTCACAGCTAGATTGTGATATCTGCCCATATCAGCTTAGTACATGTGAATGAAGTTAAAAGTAAAGTAAAGGACCCTTTTCCACACCTTTAGGCGTATAGGGTTAGACCTATATTTTTATAGACGAATCAGCACAAGGTGGGTGATGTGGTCAGCATCACGCCAGCCGCCTTTACTTCCTGGGACTGCACCCGGTACCCACTCAAGGTTGGGTCATCTGAGAGCCAAAGTTATTTTTGAAGTCCGGCTCGTCTAGGGAGCGAACCCACGACCTTCCGATCCGCGGCGAGAGTCTAGCCGTTCCGCCACGGGGACTTCCTGAATAAAGTTAATTATTCTTAATTAGTCACTTTTTTTAACGAAAAGCTTGTTAAGGAGCAGGGGATATAACCCATATTCTTTAAACCCAAAGACAGAAGAATTTGCTCTGGGATTAACTGTACTAATTATAAGTTACAGTCCTGCAACAATCAATCAGTGGTACGCATGTCAGCAAACTTTCAAACTTGACATCTCTATGGCTCAGCAGCAGCACATCTGCCCACAACTATGACAGCCCATGGTTCAGTCCCCGGCGATCGATTGAAACACTCCAGGTAATTTGTACACTAATGTCTCAATGAAACAAGGTCGGTGCCTGTATACTTCTGTTGTATTAATCTCCTTGGATTGGTTGACATGCAGTATGTATAACTATGCCTCGATTAAACAAGGCAGGTGCCTGTACTCTCCCAGGGTAGAAGAGGACAAGCAGACAGAATAATCAAAATATATGGTAGCAGCTACATACGTAGAGATAAGTGAATGACATGCATAATATGTCAATACAAAGCACTGTATACTATAAAATGTTTCATGCCATCTTAAATTGTTATAAATTTCTTTTATACTGTATGACCAAGAGACACATTTCACTTCAGGCATAAACTACAGATTTAATAATCTATACCATAGCACATCAGGCATACCCACAGATCCGTAGGCATACTCACAGGTACATAGGCATACCCACAGGTGCAAAGGCATACCCACAGGTACATAGGAATACCCTCATTTACATAGGCATATTCACAGGTGCATAGGCAAACCCACAGGTACACAGGCATACCCACATTGCATAGGTATAGCCACAGGTGCTTAGTTTTCCATAGCAGTTGGGAAATAAAATCTATTTTGACTGTCCTTACTGCGAGCTGATTGTCCACTGAGCAGTTTATTTTCCTTGTATGCCAGTCGCCCACTGACTGATGTTTCCACAATCTCTGGTTGCCAGTCGCCCACTGACTGATGTTTCCACAATCTCTGGTTGCCAGTCGCCCACTGACTGATGTTTCCACAATCTCTGGTTGCCAGTCGCCCACTGACTGATGTTTCCACAATCTCTGGTTGCCAGTCGCCCACTGATTGATGTTTCCACAATCTCTGGTTGCCAGTCGCCCACTGACTGATGTTTCCACAATCTCTGGTTGCCAGTCGCCCACTGATTGATGTTTCCACAATCTCTGGTTGCCAGTCGCCCACTGACTGATGTTTCCACAATCTCTGGTTGCCAGTCGCCCACTGACTGATGTTCTCACAATCTCTGGCTGCCAGTCGCCCACTGATTTTCTCACAATCTCTGGCTGCCAGCTGCACACTGATTGATGTTCTCACAATCTCTGGCTGCCAGTTGCACACTGATTGATGTTCTCACAATCTCTGGCTGCCAGTTGCACACTGATTGATGTTCTGACAATCTCTGGCCGCCAGTTGCACACTGATTGATGTTTCCACAATCTCTGGTTGCCAGTTGCACACTGATTGATGTTGTCACAATCTCTGGCTGCCAGTTAGTTGCACACTGATTGATGTTCCCACAATCTCTGGCTGCCAGTTAGTTGCACACTGACTGATGTTCCCACAATCTCTGGTTGCCAGTTGCACACTGATTGATGTTCCTACAATCTCTGGCTGCCCGTTGCACACTGATTTATGTTCTTAAATTCTCTGGCTGCCAGTTAGTTGCACTGATTGATGTTCTCACAATCTCTGGCTGCCAGTTGCACACTGATTGATTTTCTCACAATCTCTGGCTGCCAGCTGCACACTGATTGATGTTCTCACAATCTCTGGCTGCCAGTTGCACACTGATTGATGTTCTCACAATCTCTGGCTGCCAGTTGCACACTGATTGATGTTCTGACAATCTCTGGCCGCCAGTTGCACACTGATTGATGTTCTCACAATCTCTGGCTGCCAGTTGCACACTGATTGATGTTCTCACAATCTCTGGCTGCCAGTTGCACACTAATTGATGTTCTGACAATCTCTGGCTGCCAGTTGCACGCTGATTGATGTTCTGACAATCTCTGGCTGTCAGTTGCACACTGATTGATGTTCTCACAATCTCTGATTGCCAGTTGCACACAGTTGCAGTTGTGTCACCATTATTTTAAAAGGGATGACCTTACTGCCTACTTTGTTGATTCAGCTAAATTTTTCTATTTTAATCACCACTCGCGGTTAAGGGCAAGAGTGCTAGGAACCTAGTGTGCTCTTTCCCTGCATGGCTTCCGGAGCCCCGTTGTGGGGAGAACAGAGGAAACAAGCATGTCACAGAAGTCAACTAACTGAGGGTATCCTTTGAAGAACATCTGCCTGAGAGGCAAGAAACAAACA